TGCAAGAACAAATATAAATGGAATAATTTTCGAAATTATGAAATGGTTATTGGTATTTTCCATCTCAAAGGGGGTGATTAATTTGAACGTTATTTAAGCTGCCTTTACACGGTCGATTTTTGTCGTTTAATCAAAATCTACCCGTGTAAACTGCAATTCAACCGTAAAATGTAAGCGTTTTGGCTAGTCGATATCTTAAGTAAATTTTCCAGTCGACAGAAATCGACCCGTGAAAAGGCAACTTCAGGAATTTTTTATTTTCTTTTTTTTTTTTTTGCTTGAGCGTCTTTTGAAGATGTGCCAAATTATATTGTCGCCTTAAATACAAAACAACAATTTCTTTAAGCCATCTTGTGCAGCAATTTGTTGATCTTATCCTCACGGCTACCGAAATCACCAACCTCAACGTAGTGATTAGCCTTCTAGCGCCAGCCTCGGGTTGATGTGTTGAGCTTGAATAGCAACAGGAAGTTGGGGGCTTTCTTGTAGTGAAGTGAATCAACGCGCTTCGCGAAATTTGCGTTCGATCACAAAGCAGAGATTGGGACACGCTTGTACATCAATTCACAAACTGATTTAAGATTTGGATAACCCCATATAGGGGTTCGGCATACGTACCATATTAATGGTTGCCTTGCTCAATTTGATGAACACACCGTTTTAATGCGGCGAAGACAGAACTGTAAAACTACGCACTTTTTGTGCAACTTTGTTGATACCGCGGATGCGGATCACAAAAGCCAATTTGGATTTTTCAGGCCCGTCGAATTGGCCGCATTTCTTTGCCACACAGCGTTACTCCATCTTACGGCGTCCATCACGGAGTTTTCTTGTTTGATATTTCTCAGCATGCACCAAGTTTTCACATTTACGGAGTGCAATCACAGCAGAACGCTTTAGTTTACGTTTGATCAGGGTAGCAATTTGCTGACCTGCTCTTGCTGAACTGCAGCTTCGGCTCGGGGACAGGAGGCAGCTTCCTGGAAGGTTGTCTGCCCTTTGCTTTTGGTTTCTTACCGGCCCATGATGGCAGTCATCTTAACTTGTTACTTAGCACGTTGAAAAGGCGAAAAAAAGTTCGCCAAATGTTTGGAGCACATCGTAAATGAGCCACTCGATTTATAACATTTCTATAAACAATTTAATTAAATACTTTTATACATAGATATGCTGCAACCATGCACTTACTTTCCCAAATTCCATCCTGTTTATCGGCATAATTTTCCAAATATGCCAGCTACTTCATTACTAATTACTAAATTTTCCAACTGCGCTTTCTTTGTTGGCTCGACATATCCTAAAAAGACAAATTTACATTAAACAATAGAAATCGCAAAAATTAGCAAATAAAATACCTGCTTTGTTCTGTTTTGTTGTCAAATTTCTGAGAAATATGAATTCACCATGATGCGATACAGAAAGAACAAGGACCAGGGATGTAATTTTAAGTAAATCTATTATTCAGTGGCAAGGCGCAGAGCGTTCGGGGCAGTAATATTAATTTGTATCAAATATAACATTAAACGGTGGTTCTAATTCATTTTTTGATATTATTAACCAGAGTACATACATTATATGGTATTTCTTTCAAAATTAATTTACTATATGAACTTTTTTTTCAAATATTTCTTAAGTTTCTTTCATGAGTGCTGAAAAGCAACCATGCGTGTAAGGAATTGTGTGCTACCTAAAATTTCACCTCTGGAAACTTTATCCCCATAAAGGACTTCACCACAGTTTTTTTACTGGATATACTGAGTTGACCGGCATTTGTAAATTGTTTATATGAATTCTAAATAATTTTCGAACCACCAACCGAACACGGCATTACAAAGTGTCAATTTTAAATTGGATAGTAGGTAACGTATTCAAACCGCAAACAACTACCTTAGGGAGAAAACTGCGGCACACGTAGTACCATTGCGATATAAATCCTTGCCAGACAGACTTGCGGCAAAGTAAGGCCAAAAACACGTATTATGTTTAAGACAACTTGTTTTGATATATGGCGTCAAGAGAAAGAAATGCCCCGGCTTATCACACT